GGGAGGTCCAGAATTCGGATACTTGGCAACGCATATATTTAAAATGCTCCTTTCTGAGCTCGCAAAGGAACCCTAAAGTGCAAACGTGTTGGTGTAAAAAGCCAAAGGTAATGCCTTTGTTGGGTGCGCGTTTGGATTTGTTTGTTAGTATTGTTTTACGCATCTGAGGGCCCTAGAAAGCAAACAAATACAACAAAAACAGATTAGGATCATTCAAAATCGGTTTGTCACACAATTCGAAAAGCACTCTCTCGGTTAAACTTTGGAGGTCGTTTTGGATACTGTTGGAGGGCATCTGGGTGACATGTTCGCTACTTTCGTGTTTTGTGGAGGGGTCCAGAAAACACCGATATTTAGGACCCTTGCAAACATAATTTAGGAATCTGTCTTAGCAAGTGAACAGGAAGCACGACATTGTGCTCAGCCCATTAGCACGCGATCAATAACTATTTCGTTTATCGCACACTAATCGATGTAGCTTGAGGATGACTTTGTGATCAAGTCTGAAAAAAGTCTGTAACACGTTTCAAAGTAATTCGAATTCACACATGAGTTGCAAGTGGAGCTCTGCTCGCACAACCCCTTCTTCCGTTGGAGCTTCGCGCCACGCTCTCAGCAAGCATCAAACGTGGATCAGAATTGGACACTTTGAGAGACTTGATGGGGGCTTCTGAGATATCCCAAATCGATCCCAATCGGACCACAATGAAAGAGCTTGGGGAACTCCAGCAGAGGCCTCGGAGAGCTGCAGAAATCATTTCAGCCTCCAGGAAAGGAAGGCTATGTGGGAACAATGGTGAGCGATTCCCTCCAGGGGTCCCCCCTGAGAAAATCATCCTCGAGGAACCACGAATAGAACGTCGAGCAATGTGAGATCGCTTCCCGTCATCTGCCGGGGTTCAATCAGCTGAGTCCGCTGGGGATGTTCTCTGCGTTGAGTACATCGCCATACGAGGCCACGGGCATGCACTTTCATAGAAAACGTTGGCTCTCCGAGCATCATCTCAATCTGTATGTGTGTTTAACCTGATTTTACCGGAACAATACGTCCAAAACTTTTCGAGACTAGCCAGCCAATTTCACAAAACAAAACTAGCTCCAACGCTTTTGACAAGACCTAAAGGAACCCAAGTTGCGCTCAGCATGTGTCCAGCGACCATGAATACTCAACCACCCCACCTCAAAGCTTCAACATGCCCCATCACAGCTCTGCAAACTTTCGAGACTGAGCCAACTCCCACAGCAACCTCCCCAGAAGTCTTCGAGAAACATGTCCAGACCGCAACACTAGCTTGGAACACGCTGTAAACTTTCTGGATCCTACAGCACGGCTGGCATCCCAAAGCCGAGCCCACATTGGCCACCCCATGACCTCAGACTCTTGGAGCTACTAAGAGGTTCCCTGAGGCCATGTATTTATTTCATATGCATAGGGGGCGGGCTTCTGGAACCCTTTCGCAGGTGCTCGTGTTGCAGCCCAAAAGCCCCCTAAAGCTCCAGTCTCAAGCCCATCGCCCCCAGCCAATTCTTCAAAAATAGATGAGATCGCTCTGAGCAAAAACTTCATAAATGGTATACAAGATTTGCAAATCATCTCGGAATGCTGAATGCTCTAAAGAAAAACGTTTCCTAACTAAGCGTAGTTCATAAGGTTCTTACTCCGTGTATAATAACAGTGTACAAAGGATTGCCATCCCCGGTTTCCCCAGTCCCATATCATCGATTCCCCAGCCCGATTGAATTGTTGTCCATTTCCTGCCAGATGCCCTTTCGACTGTCTTTGAAAATGCCCTTGCTGATGGCCTTTCAAGTACCCCTTCCATGCGCCCTGTCAAACTTCCTTTCGAAGTCCCTTTCAGGTTGCATGCTCGGTTTCATGTCCAAAATCCGTCCAACTTGATGTTCACATTTCCTTTCGAATTCGTTTTCAAAGTAAGTACATTGGTGAATACGTAAGCGAGTGCGTAAGAATAAGTAAACAAGCAAGCGAGCAAGCACTTAACTAGGTAAGCAAGCAAATGAATACGTAAGGAGTAGGTGAGTAAGCAAGCAAGCAAAGTAAAGTAAAAATGAGTGAGTGATTGACTGACCGACTGAGTGAGTGAGTGACTGACTGACTGAGTGAGTGAGCGAGCGAGCGAGTGAGTGAGTGGGTAGGTGAGTAAGTAAGTGAGCATCATAATATGAGTGGGTGAGTGAGTGAGTGAGTGAGTGAGTGAGTGAGTGAGTGAGTGAGTGAGTGAGTGTGGGTAGGTGAGTGAGTGAGTGAGCGAGCGAGCGAGCAAGCGAGTGACAAATATGTAAGTAAACCCAAGAAGTAAGGTAAGAGTTGACTTTCCATGGGGAGCATGTGACAGCACGCCCAGGTGGGGCAGATGAGAGCAACTCAGGCTTCATCCAACACGTGCTTTCAATCGTCCTGTCAAGTTTCGTTTCAAACATATTCCAGATGTGTATTCGAGCTACCTTTCAAAGTAAATAGGTGAGTAAGCAAATAAGCAAGCAAGCATGCAAGTAAGCATGTGAAATTCAACAAAAAAGGCTTGAGCAAGCAAGCACACAAGCAGGCAAGCAAGCAAGCAAGCAAGCAAGAAGTAGGTTGGAGTGCTAGTAAGACATTAGGTAAAGATTAGAAATCGGTTTGAAGTTGACATTCGAAGGGGAACATGTGACATTACATTGTGGGGTGGGGCATGAGAGCGCAGCTCGGGGAGCCAGTCTCTTAATCAGAGTCATGCTGGCGACAATCCAAATCATCCTAACTCCATTGACGCCCGAACCCATCTGAAGGCACTCTTGAAAACCGTGCAATAGCGTCAACATCACACAGGCACTCGCATCGAAAACACATCGAAGGCTCCCATAGGGATCAGACAGCAATCACATCGACAACAGATTGCAACCACATCGATATCGCGCGGGAGTCTCGTTGCTTTCACATCGAAATCAGGGAGAGGTGGGAATGGAAGGAACGGAGCTGGAATTTTCAAAATCGTAACGGGGCGAAACTGAGCAGGAGAAGGACCAGCAGGACTTCCAAGCGTTTGGGCGGGACGGGATGGGATCGAGGAGGCATCGGATGCTGCATCGGATGAATTTCCAGGCTGCCAGCTGGCACTGCAACTACGTCAAAGCGTGAAATTGTTTTTGCTGGATGCGTTTTTAATGAGAAAGCTGTAGATTGCTGGCATCCAGGAGCTCCCGGAATCTCCTGGAGCCTTTTGTGGCCTCTTGGGCCTCATGCAGCCTCATGGGGCCATCTGGGGAAGTGGCAACAAATTTGGCTTTCCAGAACCATCGCCTATGAGCTAAAAGGATGCGAGCTGCAGTTCATGTGGACATTTTTTGTTTTACAGGGCCATCGCTAAGGATCCAAAAGGTTTGGGGACGACAACGATAGCCATAAGTTTTGCCTTCCAAGGGAAATCCCCAATAACCAGAAAAGGCGCAGGCGTGACACAATCAGAAACAAATTTGGCCTTCAAGGGTCATTGCCCATGAGCTAGGAAAGGAGACCATGCAAATACATGCTAATTAAACCATCCAGGGCCAGCACCGAGCACCCAAAACGAGCGCGAACGCAGCAGTACCAACAAAGTTGGCCTGCCACGGTCATCGCCCAAGAGCCCCAAAAAATGGAACGGCGGACATAGCCGCAAATTTGGCCTTCCAGGGCCATCGCTCAGGAGCCGGATGGAGCGATAACGGCGCAAATACCAACAAAACAACCGCAATGTTTTGGTCACCCAAGATTCTGACATTGTTGCATTTGCTGGTCTCCTCCGAAACCTAAATCAGGTAAAAACTAATTAAAACAGTCCGCCGACGCTCTAGTGTTGGCATCCGGTGAAAGGTTTCGCAAGAATATGCTTAAACGAGAACGCTGGGCCGATGCCTTAGACAGAGGGGGTCTCCGGCCCAATGGGCTCAACAGAACTAGGCATCCTAAAGGACTCAAAAGGATTACTGATCCTAAAGGAACATAATGGACCGATGACATGAAGGGGACTCACAGGAACTTCTGGCCATGAGTGGCTCTAGGGCGTTCAAAGGAAGACTCACCTTAAAGGGGATCGATGGAGAGTACTTGCCACAACGACTTCAAAGGAAGTACCCCAAAGCATTTGAAGAAACTACGGGACCTAAGGGACTCAAGGGCACAACCGGTCCTGAACGAAGGAACGGCATTATGAGAGCCCTCGCACACATTGGAGCATGACCCAGGAGATCCCCAGTTGCTTGACAACGTATCTCGGGGGAGTCCGTGACCTATAAAACAACTAATCGCTACCGAACTGAACCAAACACCGAAAAACCTGTGCCGTGTTTCTGGATCTTTCAAACTGGCACCAAGAAATTGTCCAACCCAAGAATGCCTCAAAGCATATTGGGGAACTATAAGCACGGAATGAATCTGGCTGTCTTTTTGAATGCCTGCCTGCTGGTCTTCCTGCCTGCCTGTCACTGGCTGTCTCGTTTGTCTTTTGTATGCTAGGGCGTCAGTCCGTCCATCCATCCATCTACCTATCTGTACGTCGGTCGGTCTGTCTCCATCTCTCTGTCTCTCTGTCTCTCTGTCTCTCTGCCTCTGCCTCCGTCTCTGCCTCTGCATGTGTCTGTCCCTGTCTGCGTCGTCTGTCCCTGTCTACGTATTTTATTGTTTCTGTCAATCTGTATGTCTCTGCCCGTCTGTCTGCAGGTCTCCATCTGTGTCTGCTTTTGTCTCTGCCTGTGTGTCTGTCTCTTTCTGTCTGTGTCTGTCTGCGTTGATTATGCGCGATTGTTTGCTTGATTGCTTGCTTGCGCTGGTTGGTGAGATCTTAGCTTTCAGCGAATCTTACCCAGAGCTCCAGTAATCAGCTGAGGACTAGTTCCTGCTAACTGGGTCGGCGGCCCGAAGGGCACATTATATATATATATATATATATATATATATATATATATATATATATATAAGCAATCGACATACTTATGGGCTACAAGCTATCATATGAACGGTCCTGCCGCGCACATCATCGGCCCGCCTGTTCAAGGTCTGCCGAAGAGCGCATCTGAATTGGCCGCTGACTGCGGCGACGGCGGTGTGCTCTATGCTGTTCATGCGGCATGCTGCCACTGGATGTGGATGGCTGCACGCTTGCGTCGCATGACTGCTGCCGTAAAGGTGATGAATTATCATTGGCCTGCCGCCTGCGTGGCGCCACATGTTGTTCACGCAGCACGTTGGGACTGGGAGGCAGCGGCGGGTGTCCGTGTGCATCAGAGGCATCGCTGCCAGTCTCAGAGAAAGCCATCTGGACGTGAGAGCACTGGCCATGAGAATGCTGGCCATGAGTGTGCAACGAAGTGTGGGAGCCGTGAGGGACATCTGATATGTTTCTGCATATCGTCCTGCCATGTAGTCGGTGCTCTGGAGAATTGCTAATGGCAGGCGAGCTGGCTGGCTGCTCAATAGGCAAACTGCTACTGAAAGGAGATGGTGGCAGAGATGACCTTTGGGGAAGCCTCTGCGAGTGGGAGCGCCTGACATCATGCATACCACTCTCGGAATTACTTAATTGGGCGTCAGGGTGCTGGCCATGCGAGCGTTCATTATGAGAGCACTGATTATGGGCGTACGCAAACGCCATAAGAACTTCAAGCATTCGATCAAGGCGTTGGTCAAAATGCTGATGCTGTCCACGCATTGCCTCTCCATGGCCATGTATTGACTCACCAGCCGCCTTGCTTTGCGCAGCAACTTCTGAGATACTCTTCTCCACGGCCTCAAGTTTACTGCTGTGTGCATCGGACCACTTATCAATACCATCCAGTCTTTTGGCCCATCCTTCCAACGCTCCGATCGTATTGCAGTGCTTGTCGAGTACCCCTCGGATGTTTTGCTCCTGCTGCCCCAGTAACCGTTCCAGTCTCTTGCACCGCCCTTCCCATTCATCACCCGCCCCAAATTTGCAGCCACCTTTCTCAGGGTGCAATTCGAACTCCTTTGGGAAGGCCATGATCAAATACGACTCCCGCTCCTGGTCTGGTCCTGGAAAGAGTTCTATGTCCAACGCCTCAAGGCAGATGTTTGCGCGCTGGCGCCTGAAAGCAATCTCAGCCTTCAACTGGATCTCCTCGTACTTGTCCCCAATGATCGCAATGAGCAAATTCAGGAGAAGCACAAGGAAGAAGAGTGTACCCAAGCCGAAGAAAGCCCAAGCAACCACCGCAGTCTCCAGTCGTGGTGACTCAGGTTCACCCCAGCGATCCAGATCATTACCACTGAAATCGGCGAGAGCGAAGGCATCCCCTGGGAAATCGCCGAGAACTGTGAGGCGATACATCAAGTTGAAGGACGCAAACAACCGCCACCGGAAATGGCGAAAAGGCTGCGAGACGGAACCACAAACTAAGCTTGTCTCATTATCGGGAGGTTCATTACAATGAATAGAATCCTCCTCCTGTAAGAAATGCCCATCAGGGTGCGCCGTGGCAAGGACAGCCCAACCGAATGCAAGACCAACCAAAATGATTAGCATGATACTCAGAAACGGAGTCATGGCCCCAGCTGTCGCGTGAATCCGCCGACCCCTTGGGGATCATCGGCGTGTGAGATGCTTCCCCCTCCCCAAACCCCTCCCCCGGGAGCCCGGTCCGGTCGATTTGGAGGGGGGGGGGGGTCCGGGACGAGCGCTCCACGGGGCTTTTCCTGGGGGGGGGGTCCGGGACGAGCGCTCCACGGGGCTTTTCCTGGCCCAAGAGGGCTTCAAGACGGGCCACGAAGCCCCCAAGAGGCCTCCAAGACGGCCCACGAAGGCTCCGAGAAGCCAAACGACCGCTCCAAGACGCCCACGATGGCCCCAAGACGGGCCAAGAGGTCTCCAAGACGGCCCCTGAGGTCCCAAATGAGCCTCCCAAGAGGGCCCAAAGAGTCAAAAATTGCTGATTTTCCAGAGTGTTTTTCGATGTTTTTTGCTTTTCCGCCTTTCCGGCTTCCCGACGCTCCAAGACGGGCAAAGAGGCCCCAAAGATAGCCCCAAGATGGCCCAAGAGGCCCCCAAGACGGCCTCCAGACGGCCCAAGACGGCCCCAAGACGGCCCAAGAGGTCCCCAAGACGGCCCAAGAGGCCGATTTGGAGGCGGGGGGAGGG